CAACTTCGCCGGAGGGAAAGGCAGCAGCGCGGGCACCGGGATCACGCACGAGTGACCTGTATTTAATGAAGTGCCTTTGTTGTCGGGTGGGTTTGTTTTTTTTTGGTGTTTGTGTGCGTTTGTTTGTTTGTTTTCCCCCCCCAAAAAAAGTTTATTAGCGGAGGTCTGGCTTTATCTCTCGGTGTCGGTGCCTGCCCGCGCTGTTTGCATTGAAGACGTGCGTCCCAAATTTCTGACTCGTGTGCTGGGTTTCCCACCGTGTAGGTGGTCATGCGTGGGTTGTGGTTCGATGCTTCTGCTGGAGGGGCAAACGCAGCGATGGGTGCGGGTTCGAGTTCACTGAAGAATTCGCAGGAGACGGGCAAATGCAGAATTAAGTCCTGTCGTGTTATCAGACCTTAACCCAACACCTGCGGTGATGGGGGTTTTAGCGGGGCTGTTTTCTTCATCGTTCATACCTTTTAATGAACAGCAAGTGCTGGTTGTGCAAGAGAGCAGAAACCTGGTGAGTAATTTTATGTGGTAGTCACTAGAAATCGTGTTTGGTGTTGTAAAAGTTTGCTGATCTAAAACACGGGCATCGTCTTGTCAGGAAATGGTTCTTGCGAGCAAAAAACTTGGGTTAAAACGTTTGTGGAGTGGAAGGGTGCGTGAGGGGGGATGTGTGCAGCCTTGGACACCTGAGGCTGGGCAAAAAGGGAGAGGAGTTTTGGCAGTAAGAAAGGCCGAGGGGCAATTACTGGTAGACACGGATAAGAACATAGATGCTGCCTCAATATGGTAATGTTCCTTTCTGGAAAGCATCTTTCATCCTTCAACCCCTGAGTGTGTTGATTAGACACAACTTATATTCTGGCTTCCAATTTCATTTCCAGGATAACATTTTGGGAAATCTACTGGTTGCAAGGATTCACAGTTGTTAAAATAACTTCTGATGCACTGTTGAGTAGAGTTGAGTAGCTGTGTGTGGTGTACACATGTATGGTTCCACTAATGAGAATATAAATATTATGGCTTTGTGGTTGTAAATAAAAGCAGCAGTTTTGCTGGAAAACCTGTGCACTGCTGGGAAGCAGTCTAATCAACATCCCCTCGTCCATATTAGCTGAAATAGTGATGCTACTCTGAGCATCTATATCTGTACTGGATTTTTAGCACCAGGTATTAAATTACTGTGATACATGAAGCAACCAGCATGAAGAGAACTTAAATTGGAATGTGTCAACTGTATACAGTTATGTATAGAAATAAAAATACGTATTTTTATATATTCAGTGTTTATAGTGGCGTATTATTTCTGACTCTTAGGTATGTGAAGATCTTTGTTGCATATGCATAAAGCATGTCAGTATTCTCTAGCAAATTCAGATGCTTATGCAGGCCTAAATGATGATAAAAGTGTAACTCAGAATGAATTAACAATGTGATACAGTATATTTCAGTCCATTGGTTTATGTTAATTGAAACATTACAGGCACTAGGCAGTGTTTTACTGATGAAGTTTGAATTCAGTCTTCAGTATCTTAGACTTGCTATAAGAAAGCTTGTGGAGTTAGAAAGAAATTTGGGTTCCAGATTGAGAGACAGTTGTATTAATTTTGGTAAGACTGAAGCTGTTAAGCAATCATTGAACCTAAGAATTTACAACTAACTTGTCCCTTTGTTATTTTAAAGTAGATAACATTCTGTTTTCTCTGCATAGGACATTTAAGGTTAGGCTTGGAAAGGTGAGTTCATAGTTTTCTGTGCAGTAAGGGTACCATGTCTTTTTTTTTTTTTGGGGGGAGGGAATGGGTAGGGGGAGAGGGGAGAAGTTTTCTATCTGATTTCCTTGACCAAAATATAGTTCTTATTTCCCAGCTGTCCTGCAGTACTCTGTCTAGTGGCTGCTGCTACTGATTGCATTTAAGCAATGCTGGCTAAAATAATTTGGAATACTTCCAGGATGTGATGTGCCTGAAAGAAGTAAATTATTACTGAACTAATAGAAAGGTATCTCAAAAGTAATTTAGCTCAGTAGAATCCATAGCAGAGAAATGAAGTGTTAAACAGTACATGTCTGCCCACTAAGTCTTGCATGGGCAGGAATGGTTGTTGCATTTAGCTTGTGAATGGTCTTGGAAAAGTTTTTCTCTGTCTGGAGTTCCTAATGGCCTGAAGTAGCTCCTTGACAGTGAATTGCCAGTTACCGAATACAAATACTTCAAGGAGTTTAGAAATGATTTTTTCTGCAGATTGGTTCTGTGGTAACCGTGAAATTCTTCAATGGCACCAAGCTAGTATCAGCTGCTCGTTAAAGACACTGATGCCAGAACAGTGGTGCATCAGTTGCTGGGAATCCAACCCTGTAGTGAAATGATTCATACATATACATTTTCTTTTCTCAGTTGACAGCTATTTTTAAGAATAGCCGTCTTGCCTAGAAGGTTGATATCTAAGCAAAGGCAGCATAGATAGCTAAAAATTTCTTTCCCACCAAACATAATCTTATTTTTGCCAGACTTCTAATATACACGCTAAAACATTTCAGTTGAATTGTTTTTAATTTATTCTATTTAAGTCTCTGCTGTTAATCGGTGATTATAGAGGGATCGTGACATTTTGGAGCTGCTGTCAGGAAGCCAGCAATTTTTTGTACAAACCAAGATTATGACTTTGAAGTAAATAGCAATTTGAAGCAATTTCTAATAAAAACAGATAGCAATATCTAGATGATCACGGATTACTCAAATAACTTACTGAAACAAATGGCATTCTCTAAATATATGTCTGCAGAAACAGACTTAGAACAAAATACTGACAGACTTCTTCAGTGTACTTTTTTTTTTTTGATGTTCTGCACTAGCAGAATATTCCAGTGATGGGAAGTTATTGACCTTTTTTTTTTTTTTCTTTTCCCATTGTGTTCTTCTGAATCTTGTATTTGATAGATAAATTTGAGTTCTTTGTTTTAGAGAGGAGTTTTATTTGCTTACCTCTAGACTCTCAGTTGAGCAATAGTAACTGTAAGGGGACTTCAGTAGAAAGAATGCTTGCAGGTGAAGAAGACTGATCACAACATTGCAGTGTGTTCTGCATTTCGTGCTGGCCATATGTCTCTATTCATCATCTATATGTATTTAATATTTGCATTTGGGTAGCGCAGGCCTCAGTCTAGCATATTTGGAATATGCTAAATGCAGAAGTGTTTACTGAATGCTTTTTCTTATTGTTTAGTTAAGCAGTGAAGATTTGCAAGTACCCATATCACCATTCATTATCACTGAGCATAATAATAATTATCTTCCTGATTAAGATTATTTTGGTGACAAGGGACAACAGAAGGAAAATTAATTATTTTATTGATGTTGTGCTGTGTCTGTGGTGTTCATATCTGCTTTTCTCTAAAATCCTACTGCAGACAGCACTGTCACCTTTAAACTGTTTGGATGATCCTGCTCTACATCAAACTTATATTTCAGATAGGAGGCAGAAATTAGAATAATCTAAATGTAATTCCTCTTCTTATTGCCAATGGAGAACTTTCCTAGATTTGAAGTAAGTTTTCTTTGTGCCAAATGGCTGACTTCTAGAATAAAATCTCTCAAGGGTATGCAAAAAGTCCTCTGGTTAATATATTGGCATTCCCAGAACCCACTAAAACTTAGGCAGGTTGCCAGACACCACTTAATGAGGATGCCGAATGTCTGGCACAAATCTGCATGAAAACTAGTGAAGAAGCTGGGGGAGGAAGCGCGTGTGGTGGGAAGAGGGGCCGGGAAGGCAACGCATCCACACCCATAGTTTATTT